GAACTCAGAGGAGGAGGCCTGGGACAGGGGACGGGGGTGGGGGGACGGGGAGGGGAACGGGGGATGGCTGTGCTTTCCCTACTGGGCAAAACAGGAAACGGCCAATCACTCCTCTGATTCCACATGACACAACTGCACCCCCTGCTGTCACTGGCCTGTTGCTCAAGCCCTTCGTCGGTCCTCCCCACTCACCTCCACCTCCCTAACAAGCTCTAAGGCAAGTCAGCGCCATGATCCCAGAGTGGGTGAGGCAGAAGGGAACGGCCACAGAAGGCGCAGGACTGATCAGTGAGGATGTGGATGAAGACGACCCAGGTCCTCTCTATGCAACTGCAGCTTTCCAACCTTTTCCAAGAGACCTTTTCTCAAACAAAATCGAACACATACAACAGCTCCAGGGGACTGTGTGACTGAGAGCAAACTAGGGGAGCCCTTCAGCTGCTCTTTATTACAGAGGCCGCCATGGGCACCTGTGCATTGTCCCACCATCTCAAGGCCCAGTGCCCACCTGGTCAAGTACAAGCTGCCACCGAGTTGGCCCCCAACTCATGGTGACCCCATGGAAAAAACGAAAGGCTGTCTGGTCCGGTGCCAGCCGCATGATCGGCTGTGGATGGGACCGCTGTGCTCCCTAGGGCTTTCATTGGCTGATTCCCAGTCTGTCTTAGTCTGGAAGCTCCCCTGAAATCTGTTCAGCATTATGGCAATACCCAAGCCTCCACTGACAGGTGGGCAGTGAGTGTGCTCTATATTAATACCTACAGTACAAATAAATACTTAATAAGTGTCTAAAATGAAGGCCATTGGGGAGCCTGCAGAAATTGGACCCTTCTTTCGTTTTGATATTAGGTGAGTACAAGTGAGGGAACTCTGGTGGTGTAGTGCCTAAGGCACTTGACTGCTAACCAGAAGGCTGGCGGTTCAAACCCACCAGCCACTCCCCGGAAGGAAGGCTGGGTGATCTACTTCCGTAGTGATACCAAAGGTTGGGCAATCTACTTCCGTAGTGATACCGCCTTGGAAACCCAAGGAGGGGTCACTAGGAGTTGGATCCAACTCAATGGCAGTGAATTTGGTTTGGTTTTAAGTACAAGTGAGGGGGAAGCTGTCATTTTAAAGCTATCAGGGTCATTTCCCTTTTTGTTGCTATTTTCCCTCTGTGTCCCATAGTCATTTTTTCTCCAGCCACCTCCTTTTCCCCAAAGCACCCACTCCCCTGACTTGCACAGTCCTTGCTTCTTTGTAGTTTTCAGTAAGAGCTTTATTGACTGTTACTCCCCAGAGTCTGAAATCTGTTCACTTCATTGCTTGGTGAACTTAAGAAGCCAAGGCAAATCAAGGATGCTATTTGGGATCTGGGATTACAGAGGCTCAAATCAACAAAGAACTGAGTTGCTCAGCCATCAAGTGGTGACAGGTGGATGGAGATGTTCCGTACTCAGAGATCATCTGTTTCAGGAACACAGTTTCCTGCAATAACACCAAATGACACTCTTTGGACACAATTATTGATCTTTCTTATTGCAGCAGTTCCTCACAGGAGATTAGGCAGAGGGATCCCAAAGCAGCCCAGAGAGAGGGCCTAAGCCCTCCTGGCAGTCCTACAAATGGTGTCTTTCAAGGCAAAGGTCAGCATAGACCCCGCATACACAATGTCCTGACAGCCTGTCTGGAGGTGCAGCTTCTCCTTGAGGGGGCGGCTCTCGGGTGGAAAGCAGACTCCAGCTGGGCCCACACATGCTGCAAGGCACAGCTGAGGTGAGAAAGCCACCTCCTTCTCACTACAGGGGCACATGGGGGCCCTGTGACAGGCCAGGCCTGGGGACTCCAACAGGAGCTGTGCACATCACCATCTCCTTCTTGTGGGCCCCGGCCCTCAGTCAGATGCAGTTACATTGATAGCCTGCCCTTAGTTGTGTGGTGGGGAAGGAAGGATTGGACACATCAGTGCTCGGTGGTAGAATTCTTGCCTTCAGGCAGGAGATCTGGGTTCGATTTCTTGGCCAGCGCACCTCATGCGTGGCCACCAGCAGTCTGTCATTGGAGGATTCTGTGTTGCTTGATGCTGAGCAGGTTTCAGCAGAGCTTCCAGCCCAAGATGGACCAGGAAGAAAGGCCTAACAGCCAACTTCCAAAAATCAGCCACTGAAAACCTTACGGACACAACATTGTGACCCACGGCTGATCATGGGGGTGGCACAGGGCCAGGCGGCATTTTGTCGTGTTGTGCATGGGGCCACTGTGAGTCAGGAGCTCACTCAACAGCCAGCCACAACAAGGTCTGTGCTGGAGCACAGCAGGACAGGGCAGAGCAGCAGCCTAAGAGGGAAGCAGCTCAAGATGGCAGGAGATGACCTGGTGGGGGGCAGCGGAGGGGGAAGACCCATCAGGCTGGCTGAGGGGACTGCTGTGGGCTCCCCTAGGTTTCCAGAGAGCCCTGGAGAAGAGACTCGCCCCCTGGCTATGCTGGTGGCTTCAAGTTGGCACTTCAGGGAGGCATGACAAGCTACCAAAGAGATAGGACTCTTTGGTAGCATCTCCTTGGCCACTTCCTTCTCCTTTCTTGAACTCAGGGACATTGCTTACCTCTCTGGCCATTCTTCCTTAATTTGCCGCATAGGCTCCCTTTCCTCCACCTGTCAGTAGACATCACGTGCCCGGGCCCTTTCCCTCCTCCCAGTACTCCGTATGAACTTGTTCATGTCTGCCGCTCTTCCTCTGGTAACTTAGCTCGGTCTTCTCCAGCCCAGAATGTTCTCAGAAACCCTTGCCCCACGTATCTCTCCCCGCCACTCTTCCTGGACCTGCTGAAGTCACGCCTGTCAACCTCTCCCCACTGGCCATACACCCTCATCCTGCTTCCCAAGTAGAGACGTGGCCCTCACTCATCCTTCATCCTCACACCATGCAGCAAGTCCTCAAGAGCCCACGGCCCCCACACTCTGAATCTTCCCATTCCTCCACCCCACTGCCCAGCCATGTTATAATTTTCTTGCAGCATGAAATAGTCGTCATCTTCTTTTGTTGGGTGTTTAACCATTTAAAAATGGAAAAAACTATTCTTAGTTCATGGGCCGTACAAAAACAGGTGTTGTTGTGTTGTTATGTGCCGTCGAGTCGGCCCCGACTCATAGCGACCCCTCCTTGGGTTTCCCAGGCAGTATCACTATGGAAGTAGATTGCCCCATCTTCCTTCCGAAAAGTGGCTGGTGGGTTTGAACCGCCAGCCTTATGATTAACAGTCAAGTGCCTTAGGCACTATGCTACCAGAGCTCCTACAAGACAGGTAGCGAGCCAGATTTAGCCCATAGGTTGTAGTTTGCTGACCCGTCTTAGACTCTAAGCTTCATGAGGACAGGAGCTGATGTTTTAATCTTTGTACTCCCACTGACTGACAAAGGCTCCAGTATGTACACAGCGGGTACTGGATAAATACTTGCAGAAAGATTGCAACAATTTATACCAGCCCCTAGTGTCACAATCCATAGTCAAAAACAAACAAAAAGGAGCACTGAGACAATATGAAAATTACCTCTTCTATAGCGGGAACTTTCCATTTGAAAAAATAATCAGCCATAAACTTAATATCTGTACAGTGGTAAGGGAAACACTTGATTTAATGCTACCAGCCTGAGGTTTTAATTTATCATCAATACAACATGTTGAAGGTTTTCCAATTTGTAACTCTAAATTGGTAAAAAAAAAACAAGATTTGAGTCATGGACCATCCATCCACCCTGGATTAGATCATAGCTTTCACCAAATACACAGAAATACAGCACAACACAGTTCCCGTTGGGCAGCAGCTATTGGTTCTCAGAGATTGTACTCACCATTCCACTGATGCATCGGCCACAGGCGGTGGTTTTAAACTCACCGTGCAGTTCCTTCACTGCACTTGTGGTGTAAAAACCTTCTGCCAAAAGAATGATCCCGTACAAGAAGAAAAAGGACGCAATTCCATAGATGACATACTGCATCAGTTGGATTCTATGAAGAGGAAGAAGACATCCTCAAGTGTGGACTTTACTGCATAACAGACAGATTACCTTTCTGGAATCTGGAAGGAGCACATAAGGGTGACATGCCTGTGATGTCTCCCATCCCTCTGGTGGCTTCAGTTGGCTCATGGGGCATTCTGGGTAGGCATCCCTGCCCGCCCTCAGAGAACTGGGCCTTGCTTCTAAGGTGAACCCATGGTGGTTGAAGTGGACAAACTTCTAACCAGCTGAGAAGTCAAAGTCAAGGGCAAGGTCCTAGTTACAATCTTTTAATGAGCACCCATCGTGGGAGGTGAAGATTAGAATCTCCATTTTGTATATATGTAAACAGAGATATGGAAGAGTTAAATCACTCATCCAAGGATACCCAGTTGGTAGTAGAGCCAACATTAAAACCTAGTCCAATGAATTCCATGTCCTTTCCACCATATCAAAATGCCTCTTGACCAGGCCAAATAGCTAATGTTATTCTGATAATCACCCTAAACAAACACGCAGTCCTTCTTTAAGGAATGACCTGGGCAGATGTTTTGCACTGCGATTCTCATTACATAAGTGCTGGTAGGTCAAGTAGTTTTAAGACACAGAAAGTTCTACACAACTGACTTTCTCTATAAAAGTCTAAAATGGCCAAGATGACTGGTCCTCAACCTTGGCCACCATTGGATTCACCCAGGAGATTTAAAAAAATACAGGGACCTGGTTCCCATCCACAGAGATTGTGACTGAATTGGTCTGGAGTGAGACATGTTTTTTTTTTTTTTTTTTTTTAAAAAAAAAAAGCTTCCAAAAGATTGAGTACCACTACTTGAGATCCCTAGCTAATTAATTAATTGAATCAGCACACCTTTCTGAGATCCAGTCTTGGTAAATATTTGTTGGTCTTCCTTGCTCATCACTGGCCCTCAGTGAGTGCCCTGTCCTGTTTGATCTCCCCTATAACCTTTTCCCCCTTACTCATGGCTTTAGATGTCATTCATGAACAAGGACTCTTCCAGTGTGTTTCTATTGTTGCGTCATAAAAACATACTCAGGTCTCTTTCAGTGTGGTGGGAAAGTTTCTCGCAATCACGAGACTCCTAAGCACTGTGAATCTCTGAGATTCAAAGAGAGGAAAAGAAATGCCAAAGGAGATGAAGACAGGAGAATATCCAAAGATGTGATAAGCATGTCATTGCTGAGTAGGCACGGCTAAGAGAATCTCCATGTGTGAGTGGTGAGTGAGCCACCAGTGAGGATTCTAGAATGAGAAGTCCCAGACTGGGGCTAAACTCCTGGATCTCCCCCTTCTCGTCATTGAGGCTGCCCTGGACTTGTCTTCTGGTGGAAGAGTCAGTGTCAACTGTTTCCAACTGATGGGCATTTCTGGTGAGAAAACTTGGGTGGGGGCTGTTATTCAGGAGTGCTAACTCTGGGGTAATGAGTGGCAGCATCAGTTCAGTGCCTTTCCACAGTCCCTCAAGTTCATGGCTTCTATGTGCAAAATGTCCTTACCATTCCTAGGTGGGAGCCTATCCTGGGTCCCAAACACCCACTGAATCTGAGCCCTTTCCTTTTCCTTCCCTCCCAGACCATTTTCTATCTACACGCAGTGACCTTTAGTGGAAAGCATCCGTGATTTTCCAGGACAGCATACTGCAGTCTTTTGGGGAAAAGGGAAAACAAAACAAAACATCGCAGGCTGGCTGCTTTTGAAACACCTTCCTAAGGGAAGCAGATACTTACACCTCGCTCAGCAAAGCATGGTCACTGGTGTTGGTAGAGAAGTGTTGTTCAAGAATCGCCACAGTGCCAGCGAGAGCCACATGCCCGCAGCCGCAGAACAAGGCGACTCCAGAGAAGCAGAGGATGGTGGCCACCAAGGAGGCGTAGGGGACTCCGCCCAGACACTTGATGCAGCATTCGAAGCAGCCTGGGCCCAAAGAAGAGAAACGCAGCCGTTACGGGCAAGATGCCTCAGATCTTCATGTAGACCACACAGCAGCAGAGCAGTTTCGGCTTTTCTTCTTCCCCCTCATGTACTATGGCTAATACCTCCATGTCCCAATGGCCAGTATTATTGGAATAATGATTATATCTCACATTCTGTGAGTGAAGGCCCTGAACTCCAAGACAGAAGGTATCTTCACTTCCAGGGTCTGGAAGGGTGGTTAGCAGCAGAGCAGTTAACTGGCAAATAGCTATGGACTAACTCATGATTCCAGAGCCTCCAGATCCATGTGGGGG